TCTTTTTTTTTTTTTTTTTTTTTTTGTGGTACCGGGGATCGAACTTGGGTCCTTGTGCTTGGGAGGCGGGCCACCGAACCGCTGAGCTAAATCTCCGGCCCCCTACCTGGACTCCTTTTTAGGGCTAGCCACCTCTTGCAACAGCGGGGTTTTCAGGCTGCACAGGACTGGACCTGGGCTGGCAGAAGGCACTTGGCTTGTCCTTCTGTTGCTGGGAGGCCATGTGACATCTTACTAAGCACTTGCTGCCTTGTCCTTAGTCCCTGGGCTTTAGCCCTCGTCACTGCTAGGCACAATGAGGCAGTGGGCAAGGCTGAAAGGGGTCAGTGGGTACCCCAGGGCTTCTCCATCCAGTGGGAGGAAGGCAGTTTGTGTCTTTTGTCTGCTGCTCAAGTTCTAGTTTGCAGTCCTGGTGAGGATGGTGGGCAGGGGCTCTGCTATATGACAGATGTGCGTGAGTAACCTGGTGTATCAGGGTAGCCCTGTGTTCTTTTCTCTTGAGTGTTTTGAAGGGGGCAGAGGAAGCCCTCCCTCTCCACCCAGCGGCAGGGATCGGGGCACTTGAGTCCCAGATCTCTGTCCCTGCAGTGTGGGGCTTAGGGTGGACACCAGAGTGCAGGCAGATGGGCATCTCCATGGCCACTCTTACATCGGCGTGGACTGTCACAGATGATGGTGGGTGGAAGCCAGAGCCACTGGGAGTTCTCACCTAATTAATCCTTTTAGTGGTGGTAAAGAGATGGGTTTAACTACGAAAGTATGGAAATGGGAAAAACTAGGAAGAGACTGCTAGAAGTGGTTAGCATGTGAACACTTCTGTTCTCAGAGCCAAATTCCCAGGTGGTTCTGGCCTTGTTTCTCTAACATTACCAACTCTGTTATTTCGTGGTATACTGGACAGTACTATTTAAAACTCTTTGTCTGCACTGAGTCTGTCATCAGCCAATGGGGGCTGTAAAACGAGTGGTCACATGACACACTAAGTTTACTTGGACTCAGAGTCTTTTTTTGAGACAGGGTCTTGCTACATTGCTCAGGCTGGCCTCAAATTCATGGCAGTCCTCCTGCCTCAGCCTCCTGAGTGTGGGGATGAGAGGTGTATGCCACCACACTGGCTGACTTTCATATCTTTGAGTGCATGTTTTCCTCAGGACAGCAGAACCCTCCTGGGAGGACTCTCTTGCTGGTGGTATGATGTGGCCCCACTGTGCTCTGCTTTCTGGATGCCTGTGGCAGCCTTGTCCTACCCTGGCTTCCTTCTCATGGCACCTGTAAGTCCAGGCCCTCAGTCCCTTCTGGTGGTAATGATTTCAGACCCTCCTTCCCCACCCCAGGCTGGGCTAGTGTCGCTATAGCTCTGAGGAGAAATGAGGAGCAGTGCAGGTGTCTTTAATCCACTTTTAATAGTATAAACCTCATGTAGGTAGTAATATTAAGCCACAACAGTAATGCCACATTGGAACAGCATTTAATAAAATGCATAAAGCTAACTCATGCACTGCGACACTCTATGTACAAACACAACAATGTAGATTCTTCAAGACTGAAGACACTGATTAGATATAAAATCCACTTTAAAAAGAACATGCTAGTTTTTAAATGCCATCACTTAACAAAGCTGATTCGTACAGGAAGGAAGCTATGTAAAGCCACAGCTTCCAGCAGGTTTGGAACCTGGTATTAAAAGGTAATGGCATGAACAGTATTTTCTATCTTGTGAAGGGCAGAGGTTACAGAAACGGTCCCAAGAAAACCTAACACCCAGTTCTCCTTTTAACAGACATCGTCTCAAAGGGACTGGCGATACAGCTACATGTTAACAGAGGGCCAAACTATAGCAAGGACTATGGGTGGTGCTAAGGAAGAGGTGCAGCTTTTTCGGGTATAAAACTAGCTGAACACTGGTTTCAGGGTAGAAAAAGGTTCCAGCATTGAGTCATGAGTGGTGGCAGTGTTGAATCCATGAGCAACACTACGGCCAACGAAGTGACAGTGTTAGAAGGGTCCTTTCTTCACGAAGAGCTGGCTTTGTTGTCAGTCTGCCCCTTGCTGATGTTACCTCTACATTAAACTAAAGCACTCTCTCAATTGGGAAATGGTGTTGGGGACTTGTGTGTGTAAATATCGAGACCAAAATTACTACCTTCTTAAATGAAAGTATAGCTGGACATTTAAAATGTCTCATATTTCTTTTCCCCCAAAGATATTTTGAGCTCCCTGTTTGTTATTAGGTTGCTAATGTAACAGCCCCAAAAAGGATATTTTAAAGTCATTCAGAGACACTCAGCCTTCCCCTTATTGACTGGGAAGCCAGTTTATTTAATGTGATTGTCACAGGGGCCTGGGCAAGATCTAGCAATCACGGTGGGGATCAGGACTCTGAGGAAGCTCACATGACATCAGAACAGGGACGCAGAAGGTTCAGCGACCCATGTCTCACAAAAGGCACTGAGTGTTGTGGCCGTGTGGAATTTCTAGCTGGGCCAGCTTAATTCAGACCTGAGGCTCCCAGGAACTGAGCTATCTATCTGCAGGTCCCGAGTTTCAGGGAAAGATGGTTACAGGGAGAAAGCATGACAGATCTGGTGAAGAAAATTGGCATCTGTACTTTTTTTTTTTTTAGTACCGGGATTGAACTCAGAACCTTGTGCTTGCAAAGCAAGTGGCAGAACCACTAGGCTAATTCCCGGGCCCTGGCATCTGTACTTTTAAAGGAAAAATGTATCCATATTAAAATGGAGTTTTTAATCCCTAGAATGCAAACTTTAATTTACAGAAAGAAATTGTCAGTGTGTCTCATTTGAATATGCGCAGTTGGAGAATTGATTTAAGATGTGTAGACTTGGGGCCACTACACTGAGCTGGCAGCAGGTGTTGTGCCAGGCGCTGGGTTCATCTGATGGCCCAGCACAGTGGGCACACTGATGCTGCCACCCTGGAGTGGCTCAGCAGACAGGCCGCTGGCTGTCACCAAGATCCTTCAGTCAGGCAAGGAGCTGGTGCAGAAAAAGCCACCACCCAGCCCTAGCTGTTGGGCTTTACAGTCTCTTCCCTTGCCTTGGCCCCTAGGACGTGGCGGGTGCAGACCAGTGCCCTTGGTAGACCACACCTGAGTTCCTCCCGGGTCCTGGCCCTTCTCACAGTCCCCTGGACACCTGTACCTTGGACATCCAAGCTGTCACTGCAGAGGCTAGGTGATGGCCGAACCTGTACACATAATATACACCTCTGTACACAGATGCATGCTTTCTTTGTACACTGTACACATTGTGGATGTGGCCTGGCCCTGCCTGGTTGGAGGCTGGCTCTAGATGTTTCCTAGGAATGACATGATCTAGACGCCAACCTGGGCAGAGGGAGTGGCTGGCCAAAGGGGTGTCAGATGGTACCCTTCATGCCTGGATGCGAGAGTGCCAGTGCCACGCCACATGTCAGAGGTTCACACTAGAAAGCAGACAAGTGAGCTCTGGGACTCTGGGGACAATAGGTCCCAGGACTGGACCCAGAGATGGCACTCCAGGATGCTCCTGAGGGAAGCACTCACTACCTCAGAGCCTGAGATTCTTGGCCCCCTGCTAGGGTGTGCACAGTGTGGATGCAGGGGCCATCTCCTAACAGAGCTGCCTCTAATACTGACTCACCGGATGTCAGCCTGTGAGGGCAGAGCATAGGTGCTTACCCTGAAGTTAAACCAAAAGAACCAAAGACCCCATGCCAGGCTACGGCAGAGGATGGACAATAAAGCAGCTCCCCTCTACGTATGTACACGTTGCACACTAGGACTGACACACCTCTGTAGGTACCTTCCAGGAGGAACTGGAGAACTACTGCCAAAGGAGTTCAGTCTTTTCCTCTGTTCTCTTCTGTTTATGCCTGTAGTAATGATTGCCACACGTGTACCACACGTGTCCTAATGCAGCACTGTTTGAAATGCTTCCGGCAAGAGCCACGTGGCCAGGAAGTGACTGCATGTGCCTGAAACAGCTGCCAGGCCATGTTCCCCCACTGAGGGCTGTCCCTCCTCATAGGCCCAGGATGTCCCCACTTACTCCTGGTGAGGAAGGGATGGACACACAGTTGGAGGTTGGAAATGACTTTGAGCATCAAGGCTGGGCATGTGATGTGACCCTGAAAGACAGGGCCACTGCAGAGCAAGGCCAGGGAGGCTGGGATGTCCCATGACCCTGGAATCAGCTAGTACTGGTCGGTCAGCAGCTTCCCACACGAAGCCACTCTTTCAGTGCTGTGTCCCTGAGCTCTGCGTGTCCCTCATCCCTTATCCCTCTTGGGTGCTCACACCAGACCCCGAGGAACACGATGAGGGCATCTGTGAGCTGTAGAGATAGGACACACTGCCTCTGGCAGTGCCTCAAATGGAATCCCTCACAGGCAGAGCAAGGAACTCATCAAACCCCTCGGTCCCGGGCAGTCTTTTAAACTTTAAAATTTAAAACACTCTGGGGTTAGAAAACTAAAACATACTTTAAACTGGCAAAATTACATCATCGTTTTATACTGGCCACCAGATATCCCTAACACCTGCCTCCGAGGTCTGACTTGTGACGACACTCCAAAATCCACGTGGGAATTCAGGAGCCAGAGATGCTGTGCACACTCAGTAGTTCCCATGAGCATGACCAGCAGCAGCTGGCAACCCTCAGGACCCTCTGTGGTGCCTGGAGCCAATATCCTTGTGGCCGGGGGCTCTGCAAAGCCAGATTTGATCCAAGGCCCAACAGACGCTAACCTTACCCTACAGGAAGGGCTTTCTTATTCCGGCCCAGACAGAAACACAGGATGCCCGGTACAGTCCAGGAGTCTGCTCTGGCTGTAAACCGCAGTCACTGTCATTTTTGAGAAGAGTGAGCATGGCCTCTGGAATGGAGGTTGCTGCCGTATCCATTGAGTAAAACAACTTGAAAGGCTGTGGAAGAGAAGACCAGTATGGGGACACTGAGAGGGTCCCCCATGTTAACCAAAAGCAAGGAACCATCCTGATGCCTCCTGCCACACAGGTCAGGCACAGCTCTGTCCAGGCGCACGATTCCAGTGCCTCAGAGACACACATGCCCTTTTCAGGGGCACTGGGAGGGGAGTGGAACAGAAGCCATTTGGACAGTTCCAAGGGCCATCAAGGTCCTGAGTGTCTGCTATGCACGACGGGTTGGGAGCTCAGCTGCTATGCACGGTGGTGAGGATGTTTCTGGTGCCTGTGGAGTTGGGTGAAGGTCTGCCAGGCCGCACTCTGATGCTGAGTCCCATCTTCAACACAGAACCCAGGTTCTGGCAGTCTGCAGATACTGTTACAGACCAGGAACGCGACAAGTCTCAGCCTGTGGCTGGTGGCTTCTGGTTTGGGTCCTGGCCATTGGGCCACCACACTCCCATGGATGTCGTGACGCACTCTTGACAAGGATGTGCACACAATTAGGAATGATCCTTCCTCTCTTCCTTCAACACTTGATTGTCTCCTGTTTCCAGAGATCCTGAGCATCTCATTAGAGACAGTTTTCCATTTGCCCTGCCCACAGGCAAGATGCTGCTAACATCACAGATTCTGATAAGAAGTGCTTAGAAAGTGCTAATGTTGTTACCCTGGTAATTAGTAGCTATAATTCCAAGGTCAATTTCATATATTTACAAGCATACTGTTCTCTTAGTTTTTTGTTTTTTTATACCAGGGATCGAACTTGGGCCCTTGCGCTTGCGAGGCAGGCAGCAGAACCACTGAGCCAAATCCCTGGCAGGTTCTTTTAGTTTTAATACTAGTCTCTGACATTATAAAACTTCATTTTTGTTTTTTGCCCTTTGAGAAATTCTAAATACAAATTGAGTTAAAAGACTGTTCCAAAGTCGGATGCTTCATCAAAAGGCATGAGAATGTTTCTCACGGCAGGAAAGGATCCTAGTCTTTAGTCTTGACTGCCTGGGGTTACAGTAAGAAGCCAGGTGGGGAGTGGCTGACATAGAAACATCTGCACATACCGGACTCCGCTGCTGTCTTCTGGGGTACGAGGGCCCCTGCTGGCAGGGCGCAGTGCCTATAGGCTGGCCCCGGTTATCTGGCCATTGTACTCTGCCGTCTCCATCTTGAGGATGTAAGGGATTATGCTGTCTATCGAAACGTTGCCAATGAGGCCGGTAAAAAAGAGTTCTTCTGTGATGTTGGAGCTCATCAGCCTGAGTGCCGGCAGGCGGACGAGGATTCGGGCCAATCTGCAAGAGGGAGCACCGTGAGACGGGGGTGCTGCCCTGGCCCAGGACGGCCACTGAACACACCCACCCACCTGCCATTCTGTCATCAGGGATCTTCAGGAGTCTTGAGGTGAGAATACAAAGCTGCATGTATGTGTGAACTCGTAGCTACCCTCCCTGACCCCACAGAAAGAACAGAACCCAGAAACCCAGCAGCAGATGGGGTAAGGGCCTGGTACCCTGCCCTACAGGGAGGACCATAAGCCTCTGCACCATGGACAAGGACAGAGCACGGCAGCCTAGTCAAAGATGAGGGACAAGGAGCTGTGAGGCGTGCATATAGCAGTCCACACAGGCACTGGGATGAGCACTGCCGCAGTGCTGAGTCTGGGCTGTGGGATTGAAATGTCAGTCCCAAGAAAACTGTGTGGCGCTCATTTCCTGTGTCCAGTTAATATTGCAAGTGGACAGTAAGATGGCTTCATCCGGAGAGACCCTGGCAGGAGGGTACCATGTCATGCAGGGCCATGGACCTGTGTACTGGAGGTGGTGGGAGCTGGCCTGGAGGACAGACAGCAGTAGCATGGGGTGGAAGGCTGCTGCGGTGCCACTGCCCCACAGCCCAAATTGGACCTGGCCACCTTCCCATAGCATGGAGAGGTTAGCCATGGCAATGCTCATTCGGACTGAATGGGAAAAGGTTACAAAGTCTCTTGGGTTTTATGATCCCAGTCACACTACACAGAAAAGTTTCTAGAAGTAAATACATGAAATGTTAATAGTAGCTACCTCTGTTAGAGCTTTTCACTGTAGTAAATTTTTTTCCTCTTTACTCTCTGGGACATTTTGTTTTCTATGGTGAACACATTGTTCTCAGAAGACAGCATGCATTTGTTATGCATGGAGCGCTGTCCATCGTGCTGGGCACACGGAGGAGGAAGGAACGGCGCCCAGGTATCGGGCAGTCAGGCTGTAGGGTCAGGAAAGAGGTGGCAGGGCTGACCCAGGACGCCTTCCTGGAGGTGACTGACTGCCAGAAATATGTGCAGCGGTCCTGGCAAGGTTCAGGAGGACCAGCTGAGATAAGAAAGGGCCTAAGGACAGGTCAGTCTGGCCCAAGAACATAACAGCTGGCATGTGGTTGGGGACCTTTTCTCAGGGAACTGTCTTTGAGTGGGTCTCTCTGGGTCCTCTCAGAAAGTCTGGATCACCTGTCACCTCCAAGTTCCCAGCTGGACCAGGAGTGACTGAGGGTTTCTTAGAACCAGCACATATACTTTCCAAGGCCACAGAATAGGGATGCTGAGGAGACCCTGAATGTGAGGCACTTGCCACAGCCCCCAGACCCACTCCAGGGCCTCTTGCCTCGAGCTGGAGCTGGGGGAGGGGGCTGTGCAGAGGTCATCAAGGAGAGGCTGCTACCTGCCTACGTGCCTGACCAGGGACCCCACCCCATGGAGACTTGTTGGGGACTGTCCTGGTGTCAGGTGGGGTGACTTGAGGCCCCTCAGGGCAGACCTTCTCTAGGTTGTGTGGTGAGCCCAGCCTGGCCATGTCTCTGTGAACTAGGGTTTTATTTGGGTCACAATGTGGGGAGGGAAGCAGGAAATGAGTGATGTACAAGGTGGCGGTGGCAAGGACTCACTCTCCACAGCCCTGGTGCTGTGCCAGTTTATACCCAGACTAGCTGTCTGCTGTTACAAACAACACATGTAATTAACTTTCACCCAAATAAAGGGACTTTTGAGGTCCCTTTATTTGGGGTAGTCACTCTTCCATCAGCCTCAGCTCCTCCCCAAGGTCACGCTTGGCCCCTTTGAGGGCTCTGCACTGCTCTAGGCGAGGACAGAGGACACAGGACCTCTGTGGGGTTTTAGGTTTCCTGGGAGATCACCTAACCTCCACTCCCACAGCCACAGCCCAGCACAAGGTGTCGCCTGGTCCCACAGGCCCACATAAGGCTCTGGCGGGCTGTCCTCACCGGTACGTATCCTCGGAGTAGGTCTTCTGCACATAGTCCTGCAGCTCCATCTGGGCCTTCTCCTGGAACTTCTCAATCTGGCTTGTGCCCGTCAGACCTGGGTGGTCTGGAACAGGAAAGGACCCCAAGTTCCCCTCTGCGTTTGGGAGGTGCATCGGCAGATTCCCTAGAATTTCACTTCAGTCAAATCCTGACAGATTCCCAAGCACGGTGGATGGAAGGCTGGTCTAGCTGGGACAGAGGCTGAAGTTTTGGGCTTCTGGGTTGGGCATCCCTAGCCTGAGCGGCCTGCCTGATGGCTCTGGATGTTGGCTTCCTACTCTTCTAGGAAACACAACAGATCCTAAAGTTACATGTAATTAGGAATTACTGCTTTCTAGGTTATGCATCATTTCTCCTGTCTTTATTAGCTATGGAGGAAAAGAAAGGTTGAGCTGGGCCCAGCTGCACATGGGGTGGCAGTTGCTCTCAGAGCTGGGGACCAGGGGGTGCCTCACTCTCTGAAACAGTCCACAACCTCCTCTTCAACTGGTACCACCGGCCCACCTGGCATGGCCTGTGGCACTGGCTTTACCATTGCCCTAGGGAGCTGTACCTGCCTGGGTTGGCAGGCTAGGGGCCCTGGGCACTGGTAGGGCTGGAGTGGAGGTGGACAGCACCAACGTCATGGCACCAGGTGCCCACTCTGCATGCTGCCATCCAGGGTGAGACCCTGACCAATCTGCTCAGCGCCTGGGATCTCCAGGGCCGGGAGCACTGCTGTGAGCTGCAAGGGATGGGTTTAGTAAGCTGCGCAGAGCAACCAACAGAGCATGGGGTGTGAGGATATGGGTCACACACAATCTAGTGGAGCTGTCTACACTGTCGGTGACAACACGATCACGCTCAGAAACTGCAGCAGACACAGTGGAAAGGTGGCGCGTCCCCACCGCATATCTTACCGGGGCTAAAGAGAACTATAGCTTTAAGGTATGCGTACTCGTAGCCGTCTATCTCCAGCCGTGCCATGCTGTTGCAGAACTCCTGCAGCTTCCAGATGTGCTCCATGACCTGCTTCACACGCTCACCTGATAGCTTATCTGCAATGCAGCGGGCATTCAGGCTGGCAAAGGCCTGATGGGTCCTCCAGCCTGGCCTGGCCGGCCCCAGCCCTGGCCCATCCCGGTCCCGGCCCAACCCCACCTTCCTGGATGCTGTTCTGTAGGTGGTTGACGATGGCGGCTAGGATGGTGGACAGGCTCATGACCTGTGCACACTGGGCCAGGCCAAGGGTGAAGAGCTCGTTCCAACAGGCCCGCACCAGGCTGGTGTTGCAGTCCTGCCTGGGAACAGAGGGGTGCCAGTTGCGCTGCTTGCCTGGCCTGCCTTCAGGAGTCCCCAAGTGTCACTGTCTGTGGTGACTACAGTTTGCAGTCCCTGTCACTGTGTGCCCATGTTGCACCCAGGTGGCACCGAGGCAGGGCTGCTGCCAGGAGCATGTGAGGGATGAGGACCGCATCTGCCTCGGCAGGCCCCGTCCTGTCCCTAGGTCCCAGCCCTCAGCATGCAGGGCACCAACTAAGGGATGTGCAAGGTGGCACAGCCGCTCCCCAGCCACTTACCCCAGTGCCTGGAAGGCTGGGATGGAGCGCGCCCAGTGCATGGACAGGAAGAGCAGGCGTGACGCCGACTCGCAGATGTAGTGCACGTTGAGGTACTCGGGCATCGGGCTGGGCATTGTTAGCTGTGGGCACACGGTGTGGTTAGGGGTGCATGCGCCGTCCAAGGTCAGGCTCGGGATCCTGTCTCAGGGAGGCTGGGTCTCACAGCCCAGAAGGGTGGTGGCCAGACTGAGGTATTCTTACTTGGGTCTAGGATATGGACTGAGGTCTAAGTCGGATCCTAGGCACAAGGTTGTTCTGTGGGGAGGAGAGAGATGCCTTCGTGCCCACGTGATGCTCCACTGAGGAGCAGTGTCCCACTCAGGGCAGCTGTGGGCAGGACAGAAGGGGACCTTCACCCCAGTGCAGTCTCTGGTGCAGTGGGAGGGAGCAGGACTATTCCCAGACCAGGGCCTCAGCATCTCAGGAGTGGCCCATGTACTTCTGGTGGCTCTGGAAGGCACAGGTGGCAGATGGATGGCTCCTACCCTCAGAGTGGTCATGGCCATCAGTGCACCCTGAGACACGACAAGGGACACTGCCACGGAACCCTGGGTCCTGCGGGCCAATTTGGTGCAGTCTTTCACCCCACACCACCACTTACCTTGAACGTGACATGTGTATCTGAGAGCAGTGGGCCCTCAACCTCAATGATGGGTGTTGACTGGTCCCTGCTGATGACGTGGATGCCACCTCCTCCACTGGCATCCAGCCCATCCGCCAAGCTAGGGGGTGAGGTGCCGTCCGCAGTGTTAAGTGCTTTGGCTAAAGTGTCAAATGCCCTGCGAGCAAACAGAGTGGGCTGAACCATGGGTCTGCAGCTTGAAGGGCCGGGAGCCCTTCAGGCCCCACATGGGAGGTGGGTGCGCACCACAGCTCTGAGGATTGTGTCCAGGTGGGAACCCCAAGCTGGGTGCTCCCTCTCACACCTGCCTCATACCAGAGAGGCGGAGCTTCTCTCCACTTAGACATCACCCCTCACGGGGTTAAAAACCTCTCCCAAACCACCTACAAGGGAAGTGGTGGGACTAGAATTCTACCTGACTCAGATCCCGCGACCTAAGTTTTGCTGTCCGACTAAACACAAGGACTAGAGGGCAGATGGGCACACCTGGGATACCAGCAGTAGGAGGCTGAGGCAGGAGGGCTGTGAGTTCAAGGAAGGCCATCCTGGACTACATAGTGAGACCCTGTCTTAAATCAAAATAAAACAACAACAAAAATCTCATAACCCAGCCAGGCTTTGTGGCGCACACCCAGCACTTAGGAGACTGGGGTAGAGGGATGGCTGTGAGTTCAAGGCCAGCCTAGACTACATGGTGAGACACAGTCTCAAAAAACCAAAACAGGGCTGGGGATTTAGCTCAGTGGTGACACTGCCTGCTTTGCAAGTGCAAGATCCAAAGTTTGATCTCTGGTACAACAAAACAGAACAACCCCAAACCCACACAAAACAAAATCCTCACAAAACCACGAGGACCAGACCTGTGTGGTCCCCAGCAATGTGCCTGGCTGGCCTGGTGCCCGGGACAGCAGCAGAGGGAACCACACCCAGGCTGAACCAAGTGTGGAAGCAGCTGCTGCTGCTGCTGCGTCCCCACTGCAGAACAGGCTGACGTGGGAGCTGGGAGAAGCTGTCACCACGCAGGTGCCTTAAACAGGGCGGCAGACATGGTCCCCTATACTGAGTTTCCTCTCCCATTCTTTGGAAATAAAAGCAGCATGACTGTTTCACAGCACACAAGGGTCCCCCATCCACTTTCCCACTGTTAAACTCAGTGACGGGAGATGTGCCCATCCCTGCGACAGCTTCACAGCCCTCGACCCTCACGGTGACAGCATGGGCGCCTGGCTCATACCGGGTGATCTCGCTCGCAGACTGGTCCTCTGGCTGGATGTCTGAAGTGTCGCCATTGTTCAAGGATTCACTCAGGTTAGCCAGGGAGGTCACAACGTTTGCCAGTGTGCCCAGGGCTCCCTGGCTTGTCTCGGCCTATGGGACAAGAGGCGGTGTTATAAAGGCACACAGGGCAAAGGTGTGTCATGGCTCAAACACTGCTTCCAGGGGCACGAGCAGTCCACGATGACAGGAATGCTGTGTCTTGATCTGTAACTGTGACACCATAGGACTAGGATAAAGTGACAGAACAGAAATGGTAACGGGATGTCACAAACTAAAATGCCTGTACTTCGAAAGACACAAGCAGAAAGTCATAAACACGTGCGATCACAGAGGTGACCGGGTTTAGTGGCCAGCACGTCGGAAGGCCTTCCCAGCTCAACAACAGAACAGCCTGAGTCAGCACAAGAGACCCGAGATGATGTTTTTCCCCAAGTGGGAAAACTGGCCGCAGACAGCAGCAGAGGCGTGGCATGGTTAGAAACAGAACTAAAGGCCCAGTGGCCCCAAACTGATACCCACAGGTCAGTCACAGCCCTCAAGCATGGCTGCGACCCACACCTCCTGCTCAGAGCAGAAACTGACAGCCATGTCACATGACACACCGAGGAAGGACCCCAGATACAGCCACACAGGACAACCACAAGACACAAGCCAGGGACTGCATGCACAGCCCCTTGGTGACAGACGGAGACATGGTGGGGAAAGGATGAGAGATGACTGCTTTCAGGGAGGAGGGAAACATCCTGGGGTCGGTGGGGTGGAGTAAACTGCTGAAACCAAGTCCCTCACCCAGAGCATGTGTGGCGTACAGTGTGGATTTTATTTCAGTTAAGAAACAAGCAGAGAGATACAGGCACAAACATCTGTGTGTCTTGATTATGAAAATAAGAAACTTCAAGCCAGCTGTGGTGGCACATGCCTGTAATCCCAGCACTCAGGAGGCTGAGGCAGGAGGATCGCTGTGAGTTTGAGACTAGCCTGGGCTACATAGGGAATTCCAGGTCAGTCTCAGCTACATAGTGAGACCCTGTCTCAAAAATCCGGAAAAACAAAACAAAACAAAACAAAAACCCACAAAACCACAACCGACAGCACAACAACAAATACCAAAACAAAAATACAAGAAACTTCATACTGCACTGCAAACATGTACTAACAAAACCTCTCAAAAAATAAAGTTGCTTATTTATAAACAACAAAAATGAATTACAGGGCTGGGGATTTAGCTCAGTGGTGCCTCACCCACCCTACAAGTGCAAGACCCTGAGTTCAATCCCTGGTACAAAAAAAAAAAAAAAAAAAAAAAAAAAAAAAAAGACGTTTAGAACAAATGACAAAGCCGGGTGTGGTGGCGCAGGCCTGTAATCCCAGCACCCAGGAGGCTGAGGCAGGAGGATCACTGTGAGTTCGAGACCAGCCTGGGCGGCATAGTGAGTTCCAGGTCAGTCTCAACTACATAGTGAGACCCTGTCTCAAAAAACCAAAACAAGTGAGAAACAAAAGTGAAAACTAAAATCAACAGAGAGGTCAAAGCCAGCAAACACCCCAAGGCCCTGGAGTGGACACCACAGCTACTGTGGGCATGGACACCCAGCCAGGGAGGTGGCTACAGGGCACTTGGCTCGAGAAGGACGCATGCAGTCCACAGGTCACACGGCCCAGTGTCACACTGCACCCTGGCTCTGTGTGACAGAACTGTGGGGAACTCTGCTGCAGGTGTGTGGCAGCTCTGAAAGCTTTGTGCTCATTTCAACGTTGATTATTTTGAATGTATGATTACTTAAAAGTAAAAAGTTTACAAAGCTGCTTCCGCAAAGGTTACTTCAGGAGCTCTGTGTGTCTTCGTCCCAGCAGCAGCTTCTTATAGTGCTCATGTTTCTTCGCCTCAAGGAGAAGGGGTGGCACAGTCCAACTCTGGAGTCCTCTCCAACCACACGGTTTTTGCACTCATTTTCCTTCCTCCACTGACAGTACTTAGCTCTTAGTAGTTCACATGGAGTGCTCACTGTGTGTACAAATTAACTTCCTCTAAACTGGGGGCAGTGCTGCATGTCTGTAATTCCAGTTACTTGGGAGGCTGAGGCAGGAGGATCGAAAACTCAAGGCTAGGCTGTACAATTCAGGGAGACTCTGTCTCAAAATAACAAAAAGGGCTGGGGAGGAAGCTCAGTGTGAAGGCCCTGAGTTCACTCTCCAGTCTTTCAAAATGAAGTAGGGGCTTTTGCAAAGGGCCGTCAGTTCTGCTAACTGTGTGTACCAGGGAAAATGTGAGCAGAGCATGGGACCACGGAGTCTGTCACCCTCAAGTTCAGACCCGGTGCCTGACGGTGGACCTGCCTGCCAGCCCTGGCTGAGCAAGGGTTCTGAAGAGCTATGGTGTCCGAGGGCGCGGCAAGAGGATGGGGAGGGAGGAAGTGGGACTTGAGCCTCACCTTGGAGTCTGCGGCCAGGAGCACCGTGCCATCCTCTCGGATCAGGGGCTGCTGGATGTTCACGAGCATCCCTGGGTCCAGGAGACCTGGCTGTCTGCTTGAGACAGAAAAACAGTGACTTCCAGCGTCCAGCCTGGCTGTGGTCTAGCCACACTCCCAGGAGGGGACTTGGCATCATCACATCCTTAGGATGGGTTTGATCCTCTCTCTTCCATGCCCTTCGGGGCCTGGCTTCCCTCTTCCCCTCCCCTTCCTAATATGAAAAGGGCACCATTAACTTGAGCTCTCTTGAAAACCTTAGCTCACATGCTTTGTCTACACCACAACCTGTCCGAATCCCAAGCTATGGAAGAACTGCTGTCCTGCAAGGAGATGCAGCCACGCTGCCCTTTGGGGAACAGGGGCTCACCTTGCACCATCCTTTTCAGCCACAAACGTGGGTGTGGCTATCAGGGGGCTCCGCAGGTCCTTCCGGATGTAGATCTTCTCCGTGGAAGCTGCACAGTTGCTCGGCTTTTCCCGCTGTACGTCAAAGGGCTTCCGCTCGCTTTGCACAGCTTATATCACAACCAAGGACTCATGTTTAGAGAGGACTCTGACCAGCGAAAGCCACCCCTCCTGCGTATCCATCCTTTGGGGACCCAGGGCACATGGAGCCTGGCGGGGGCTCCCTCTATCCCTGCCCTGAGCCAGAACAGCCTTGAGGCTGTAGCCGTGTCCCTACCCATCCCTCTGCAGCCTGGCACCACATGTGCCATGGGCCATGAAGGAGGACAGGATGGCACTAAAGGGCGACATCAAGTCCAGAGACTCAAGCTCAGGTGTCCCGGGAGCCAAACTGAAGTCCAGCTGGTCTTGAGTTTGCAGATCTACCTGTGGCTACAAAAGACTAAGTGCAGTCTGTGCTCTCAGGGTAGAACATTCACTATGGACAGGGACAGGGCAGCGTGGGCCACCCTAACACCAAACCAGTGGTTCTGGTATTTTTCTTTCCTGGGTACTGGGGACTGAACCCAAGGTCTTCACAGTGAGCCACACTGCCAGCCTCTTTTCATCTTTTATTCTGAAACAGGCTCATCCTAAGTTGCTAGGTAGCCCAGGCTGGGCTTGAATTTGTGATCCTTCCACCTCAGCCTCCCAGTCTGAAGGACACCCAGCTTTGTTATTCACTTTGGAAAAAGAGCAAAATCACTGCATAAAATAAAAACATCAAACTAGGCAGACATTAGGTTCACCATTCTAATTTCGCAAAGGACACAGCTCCACAGTGACTTGTGCAGTACTGAATCGTGTTGTTCTGCAGTCTTCCCTGGGGAAGGTCCAGGTAGCAAATGTGCCCTGCCTCTGTGGTCCCCCCTCGGAGCCTGTTGGGTGCACATTTTCACCACCAGGATGGGAAGTGACCCCCACACTGCCAAGCCCTGTTCTGGCACAGGAGCAGGGAGGAGGCGTCCACCCTTCCTTGCTGCCCCACACAGGGCATCCTGCTGCACAGGAGTATGGCAGGACAGGGCAGGAGTGGGAATGGGTGGGGAGGCAGTGGGTCCTGGGCCTTGCTGCCCTCCCTTCAGGGGCAGGGCTGGATCGACAGGGGTCTCGGCCCCACCCTGAGTCCTGAGCCCTTACTCCACCCTGCTGGCTACCCCGGAAGTGGAGCAACAGCCCGAGCAGTTTCCCTTGCAGCCAGGCCCCGCGCCCAACCAGGCAGCCCGAGCTCACACTCCATCTTCATGCCCATCTCCAGGCACTTCTTCAGCCGGCAGAACTGGCAGCGATTGCGGTGGTGCTTATTGATCACGCAGTCCTGGCTGCTGCGGCAGCTGTAGGTCAGGTTCTTCCTCACGCTCCGTTTGAAGAAGCCCTTGCAGCCTTCGCAGCTGACGGCCCCATAGTGCCGGCCTGGGAGGAGAGGGAAGATGGGTGGTGAGCTCCATGTGGCATCAGCGCAAGGTTTCTGCACCCACAGGAGGGTACACGCAAGTGGCAAAGTCAGTGCCCCAACTGCTTCCGGGCTCGCTTGCCCTGGGTCCCATTTTCCCTAGGGTGTGAGACAGGGATGGCAGGGCTGGGCTGGCCGGGCCTCAGACCCATGGGAGCAGACCTGGCTGCTGCAACCTCCCTGGACCTCACCCATGACAGGGAGGAGCGTGCTGCCTCAGTGGATCCTCCTGGTGTACAAGGCACAGCCTCACAGATGCCCCCCCCTTTCTTCCTGGTGGACTTGAGCTTCTGCCCAACTCTACCGTGACACTGCAGGGACATCGCAGTTCATGGGATGCTCGCTTCTGGTGGCCACCAAGGCCTATCTTAAGCTCCTGAGTGGGAGCCATTTCCCAGACCGCATCTCTAGAAGCTCATTTGCTTTTTCTACAGCACTGCTGCCCCTTCCTGGTGCTCTGTGCCCTGGGGTGACTTGGGCTGTGTGTGAGACCAACGGCCGTTGCACCCAGAGGACTATGGGCTCAGAGCCTGCAGCATGCTTTTCCCTGCTGGGCAGGGGACATGGCTCTGCTGAGACACTCCTCAGGGAGGGCAGGTCTCTGAGCAGTTAACACGGAGAGGAAGCAGCAAACGCTGAGAGGTCTGTGCCGGGCAGCCCTCCTGTTCCTAGGGGTAAGGGTATCAGGCTGCCTTTCAGAGGTAGGAAGCAAGGTAGGCACCCTGCGCAGAGATGAGGTGCCCTAGAGGGAAGTGGAACCCAGGCTGTCTGCCCAGAGACTGCGGCCAATCTCCTTTGTAAATAAATACAACCAAACTCGGGACAAGCGAGTGTCCATCTGTAGCTACGCCCTGGCAGTGCCTCCCCTTCCCTCCTGCTCACTTCCCAGTGACTGCGTGGTAGGACCCTGTCCTTCAGGCTGCCTTCCCAAAGGGCACAGGCGTCACTTGGCCCAGGCTGGCACATTTCCTGCAGGGTGCAGCCACCAGGGCCCTGCGCTTCCTGCACTCTGTGATGGCTCATCACCTAGTGGGTGCAGGGACGGTCAGGGTGAGGCCTCTTGTGAAGGGCAGAAGCCGTGCAGATGGAGACCCGGCTCTTGCCACACAGAAACACAATACACCACTGGAACTCAAATCATGGGAGTAGGCCCCACCTTCCCTGTGTTCTCACGTCCTGAGAAGCGGCTCTGCTTTTTTCCTCACACTGCTGCCTGCTCAGAAGAGTGGAGCACACGTCTGGAGCCTGTACACCGACCACACACGAGGCCTCCTGAATGCCCCTACCCGCTGTAGGGCACCTACCCGAGGCTTTGTCGCCGCAGACCACACAGTACTCCACCACCTGCGGCCGCTGGACCTCGGCCTTCCCCAGCAGGCGCTCCACGGACGCCGAATCCGTGACGATCTGGGGAGATCAGCAGACAGTGTGCTCAGAACCAGAGGAGGAGTGGAGTGATGTTTAACTGACTCCTATCCCAGGTCCTTGGCACAACTTGAGCAGAGTGGGGAAATTCCAGCCGGCAACTGCCTGACACCCGGGCGGCCCATGGCTGGGCTTCAGCAAATCTCGCCACCCAGGGATGGGCTGTGTGGAGTCACCCATGCCCCTAGAGGAGGGCGAGGTCCTCCCAGCACTACCTCATCGGGAAGCGCTGGAAAGGATGCCAAAAGGTGTGCTGGCCAGGGGAGCAGTTTCCCCCCGGAAACAGCTATGGTGGAGGGACCAGAACCAGAACAGATGTCTTCCAGCACCTTGTACTCGGTTTGGGGGACACAGTGCCACTATCCAGGAGAGCTCTGTAACTTTCACACGACTGCCACCCGCGGTCTCCACTGTGTGTCAAACACCCCACCATATCGCAGAGTGTTAAGGATGTGCTGAACACCAGTGAGGCCGGGGCTCCAGAGCTCAATGTGCCTGGAAGGAAGGGTGAAGCAGACTCACTAACTACTCAGCCCTGAAAGCTGCACACACTGGGCTTGAAGTTCAGTTCTGCAGAGAAAATCATTCTTTCCCTCCAATTTCTGCACAGTGGCAAGTCCTCCCCAAACATACGTCCTGGCAGTAACAGCCAAAGGGTGGCACGGGTAGATGTTCCTGTAAGGGATGTTACATGGCCATCAAGAGGAGGAGATTCAGACTCGTATCCCACACAACAAGCACGTTAAGGGAAATACACCTGTCACAAAGGACCGACAATATGTTACCAAGGCTCTGAGCCGGTGCCTGGGACCATGGGATTCACAAAGACAGATGTCACTGTTCAGTGGGTCCAGAACAGTCACTCCTGAGTATCTTCATCTTGGAGCACTCGTGTGACTCCCACGGCAGGGGCTTCCGTGCAGGAGGAGGGCGAGGTATAGACAGATGGCACAGCACTCCAAGTAACCCAATGCCACCCCACACCTAAGAGTGGTTCCCATGGTGAATGTCATATCATGCACATTGACCACAGATGCAGTTAAGTAAGGATTTTGGAACCCACACTCGGCGGTTGGGACAGGCTGGAGGGAAAAGCTAGGGTTCTCACCCAGCCAGGTCATCCCAGGTGGTGCCCCTGAAAAGTCCTGGGCTCAGGGCTGCCTGAGACCTCACCTGAGAAGGGTTCTCAGGGGCTCAGCAGCACTGGGGACCCAGCACGTCCAGGGATGGCTGTGGCTGCTGCAAGGGGCAGAGGCAGGCAAGGACAGGGCTGCACAGTCTCACCTGGATCCTGCCAGGGACCAGGCTATCTGAGGTGGTGAAGATGAGCTGCTTGGCACTGGGTGTCTCTGGGGAAGCCAGGATCACCTTCCCAGGGCCAGCGCCATCGGGGCTGGTCAGGATGAACTGCTGCTTGGAGGAGCCTGAGGCGTCCACTGCGGTGACAATCTGGATCTTCTGTCCTGTCTGCTGGTCCGTCACAATCTGCAGGAAAACATGAGGCCACAAGGTGATCTCAGGAGCACAAGGCCTGAGTGACCACTGCACCCAATGTGTGTGGTCGCCCATGGGGACTGGGGGGGCACAGTTGAGAGCTTTTCTGGAACAATTTTACAATGCTGATTTTATGCTAGGGTTACAGCTTCAGTGCTACTTGTAGAAGCAGGAAGTGAAGGCAGTCGTAAGTAATAGATGATACATTTATCTTTTGAAAGAAATCTGTCCTGGCATAGTAAAATATTGTGCAGTGCACAGAGTTGCTAACATTCACTGGTTCTGCTGCCTACAGTCTTCCTGGCCTTATCTCAGACCTGTCGCACCTCATAACAAACAAGGTCATCGCCACTACACGGCTGCGGGGGTCTGGGAACTGCTCGGGTCACACAGATGAGTGGGGACAGGAGGTGACCCTCGATTTGTCGAGCCTGAGCCAACGCTCTTCCTGTCTAGCCTGCCACCCTTGTGAAATCACCCTTCCTTGCTTTCAGATGAAACACAACTGTTACAAATTAGAATATGCTAAAACAAAACAATGACAAAAAGCCAGGCATGGTGGCACAGGCCATAGTCCAGTACAGGGGAGGCTGAGGCAGGAGGATAGCTGTGAATCTGAGGCCTGCTTGGGCTACACAGTGAGTTCAAGGCCAGCCTGAACTACATAGCAACATCCTGTCTCAAGAAAACCCTAAAAACAACAACAACAACAACAACAACAACAAAGAACAAAACCAAAAGACCTAACCAAAGAACATGCTGAAGTCTGGGCTGGTTGTGAGGTCACAGAGGTAAGCAGTGCCAGCAGGAGACCATGTTGAGTGGCACCTGGCTCATCCAGAGTCGCTAACTGTTCACATGGGAAGGTTTCCAGCTGTGTTCCCTGGACAAGGAGCTAACGCCCCAGGCTCTTCCCTAGGACCTGAAGCTCCATGCCAAGGACAGATCAGCAAAACTGTGTCAGGGCCACTGTGGGGCTGAGCACCATGCTCAAGATGGCTGCTGCCTAGCGCAATGAGCACCAGACAGGAAATGTACTCAAGACAAAATGGGAGGCACACACCTCCCTCAAGACACTCAGCACATCCTGCAGAGCCTTCTGGCCCGGGTCCTTGTCTGCCCGGTGTCACTGGAGAGCAGAAGTTAACTGAGTGCGCAGCAATACCCCAGGGTCACGGGGGGAGAGGTGCACATCAGGACCTGCTCACGGCACCAGCACAGACAAGAGCAGTGCGGGGAGAGCAGGAAGCAGGTGCATGAACTCCTAACCTGAGGGCAATGAAACCTCTCGACACCTTCCCAGGTCCCCCACACATGGTGAGGCTAAAGGAACCACAGCAGCTTCTGTAGATAAGGATTCTTAACAGTGTATTCCGCACTCCTTCCGCCTTATTCATCCAGTTTGCAACAGGAGAGACATAAAAAAAATTTTGGCGGGGTATAGGGAATCAAACTCAGGACCTTGTGCTTGCAGGCAGGTGCAGTGCCATTGAACTAAATCCCTGGCCCTAAAAATCTTTTAAGAGTAGGCCGACACTATAGAGTTTGCCCACACCTGACTCTCTTAACATCAGATGTCTCCTGACCTGCACTCTCTGCCATAGTTGGAACCCAAGTTCTGCTCTGCCCCTGCCACCCACGCCACCATCCCTGGCTATGCTCTGGTTGGGCCTCTGGCCCTGCGGCTAAGGTGATGGTGCACCTGTATTATCATCCACGATGTTCAAGCCCCCAGTCACTGCCTTTGAGCCAGAGGTCCCTGCCTCCTCTGTGCACAGGGTGAAAACAGGACCCCATCCAGCATGAGTGGTAGTTAGTGAACTGCACCACTGGTGACACTCGTCACTAGGCACAGATAACCAACCACTACCTTTGGAACACTGTTGGGCGCCAGCACCCTGCCAAACGCTTCACAGGAATATCTCCTGTTCCTCACCATGAACTACGAGGCAAGTGTATTATTACTATTATGTGGTTTCTAAGTGGGAAAAGTGATGTCCTGAAAACTGACCGCCCAGGACATTAATTTTTATGTAGGGCGTGGGACGTGACTACCTATGAAGATGGCCCATCTGGCATAAGGCAGTGATCCAATGTGCTTTAGAAGTCAGTTAGTTGGAGTGGGGCAGAGTGGTGCACACCTATGAGTCAGCACCCGGGAAGCTGAGGAAAGAGGATGGCCATGAGTTCAAGGCCAGCCTGGGCTACATAGGGAAACCTTGTCTCAAAAAACCAAAATCCAAACAAAAGCTGGAGTGGTGGCGCATCCCTGTAATCCCAGCACTGGGAATTTAAAGCCAGCCTGGAATACATCGTGAGATCTGGTCTCAGAAAAATCCAAACAACAACAGTGAGTTAGTAAAGCTAACATAAACCACTTTTTGTTTTAAAGAACTGGGTTTGGGGCCAGGGACTTAGCTCAGTGGTTCCGCCACCTGCCTTGCAAACACAAGGACCCAAATCTGATTCCTGGTACCAAAAAAAAAAAAAGAACTGGGTTTGTCTTGGGACAGGTGAGGCAGTACCTGGATGCGCTGGGGCGAGGCAACCGTGGAGTCTGTGGAGATGATCTGGATGCGCGGGGAGGGGCTGGTCATCCCTGGAGCTTCCGGCCACGGGGTCCGTGCACACGGGACCTGCAGGAGATCACAGCGTCAGAGGTAGGTAGATCTGAGTTGTCAAGCCAGGGCAACAGCATTGATGAGACGCTGCCCCAGCAGGGCTGGGACCTGCTCCTAGGGGTAGGGGTGAGGTGCAGGGGGATGAGAGCAGCCTCAGTTCTGCTCTGCAAACTCAAAGAGAGGCTTGGGCTTCTCTCCTCCCCAGCTAGCTGCATACTCCTCTAAGATGCCTGCTGGGGGATACACAGGATCAGCTCAGTGCTCAGGACAGAGTCCCCACAGTCTCCAGCCCCAGGGCGATGGGGGTGGGAAAAGCCCACAGGAGCACTGAGTCTGGGGTTTCAGTCCGTGCCCACAAAAACGAGGCTAAAGTTGCTGAGTGCCCACCCGTATTTGAATGAGATGGTATTATTTCCCAGGGTTACAATATATCATGAACTGCCAGGTGTGGTGGCCCACACCTGTAAATCCAGCATTCAGGAGGTTGAGGCAGGAGAATTCCAGAGTTCAGGACCAGCTTGGGCTATATAGCCACACCCTGTCTCAAAAACCAAAAAGTATTAGCCAGGCATGGTGGCATATGCCTGTGATCCCAGCACTTAGGAGGCTGAGGTAAGAGGATTGCCACAAGTTCAGTGCCAACCTGGGGTACATAGTGAGTTCAAGGCCAGCCTGAATTACAAAGGGGACCCTGTCTCAAAAAATCAAACCAAGAGCTGGGTGTGGTGGCACACGCCTGTAATCCCAGCACTCGGGAGGCTGAGACAAGAGGATCACTGTGAGCTCTGAGACCAGCCTGGGCTACATAGTGAGTTCCAGGTCAGTCTCAACTACATACAGTGAGACTCTGTCTCAAAAAACAAAAAATAAATAAATAAAATATAAAAAACTAAACCAAACCAAAACAAAAAACAAAAACACACACAAAAGTATCAGTATATCATGAAGCACCAATCAATACCTTACAAACTTCACAACACAGGAGAGAATATTCCCTAACTCATTCTATGGGACCAATATTACCAAATGGGACAGATGTATAACGAGAAAACTGTAAGCCAATACTCACTATAAACAAAGATGTAAAAATAATTGTAACCAAAGATACCACAAAAAGGCTGATACATCATGCCTGAGTGGGTTTATCTGGGGAGTGCACCGCTGGCCAATAGCTTAAGACACCACACTAACAGAATAAAGGACAACTGCACACACTGTTTGCACTGAGAGAGAAATGTGACACTTCCAACACACCTGTGATAACCACATTCACATATGAGGGACAGGACCCCTTTCCCCCCATAAAGGATCCACAGGAGACCAAAGGGCTCTCAGGTGAGGACCAAGAGGAGCACTCTGCTGTCACCAACGGACACACATGGCACTAGGTGTCGGGGGGGGGGCTGGGGCGGTAAGGACAGGTGGAGGCATCCAGATCTAGGACAAAGGAGATCCATCATCACAGATTACAGGATCTACATACAGAAAATTCCATGGAATCCACACAAAAATAAGAAGGATTAGGGCTGATAAACAAGTTCTAAGGCCACAGGGTTCAAAATCAGTGAACAACAATTAACTACGCAGTAGCCACAGCCACCTGAATAAGAAAGTCAAGGAAACAGGAGATTTCACCAACATGATATCAAGTATTTAGCAATGAACTTAACCAATAAGTGCAAGAGTTGGGCCAGAAGATTTAATACTACAAGGATAGATAACGAGCCTCACAGTGACTTACTGATTTAATGTAATCCCTACCAAAAATCCAGGTGATTTTTTTCCATAAATTGACCAGCTGACCCTAAAACTCACATGGAAATGCAAGGGACCCAGAGTAGCCAAAAGAATCTTGCAAAAGAAAAGCACAGTTGGAAGACTCACACTTCTTTCCAAAACTGAATACAAACCTATGCTAGTCAATCTAGCATGGGATCCCAGCAACCCTAACTTGCGTTTTTACCAAAAAGATACAAAATCAGTTTGTCAAAAGATGTCGTTACAACCGGGTTCAGCACAGCAGTATTCACGGAGGCCAAGTCATGCGGCAGCTCTAAGTGGCTGCCATCAGAACGAGGGAGACCGTGGTGCACACAGTGGAACCAGTCCACCACTCCCAAGGCTTGGACAAGGCTGCAGAACTGGATCCCAGTGAGATGTGCCATGTCAGGAAGACACAGTCGCGTGTTCCTGCTTCCCTGTGGAATCTAAAGTGATTAAGGATACGGGACCAGAGCAGAATGTGGCAACCGAGGCTGGGGCAGGTACGCAGAGAGGGATGACAGTCTCGGGTGACAGTCCACACATGCCTATGGTATCTTCAGATTCGCTGCAGTGTGGTGCCTGGCGAGTGCACACTGCACATTTCAGAGCTGCTCAGGGCCAAGTTCACACTCTCCTGCCTGTGCTGATTAGCTCGATTCAATCACTCCACACTGCATTCAGAAACTGCACATCACTTTGTCCCCGTAAACACCTAGCACTACAAGCTCCGCATTTACAACCCATACACCAGTGTGGCACTCAGATAGATATGCAGAAGGATGGGACAGACCCAAGGGCCCAGAAAGGAGCTCCCAGATGGTCAGGGATCCTGACAGACAATAGTCCATGTCAGCCTCTAGGGGGCGCTGCTGGGATGACCCAGTGCTGTGTGGGCCCGAGTGACAGCACCTTCAAAGGCATGGCTCCTTTCCTCTCCCTCCCTTCTTTCCTCTCTGGTGCTGGAGATCAAACCCAGGCAAAATCACTTTTTTACTGTAGGTGTAAGGTTCCTAGGACCTTACCAGGAGCCAGCCCATACCCCAGAGGCATTTGGGCTCCTTCTGGGAGGCCTGGAGCAACTCTGCTCCCTGAGCGCTGAGCCCTCCCTGTGGGCCTGTTCCCTGCCTTCAGCACAGGAATGGATGCAAAAGCACCACTGAGAATGACCCGCTGACCCGCAGACCTCCGAAGACATCATGGCTGATGAGGGACACTAGCCACAAAGACCACAATCACGGGGTTCCGTTCACTTCCCACCGGTGTGGGTGAGCCCATACGTGCAGGGAGAGGTCAGTGGTTGTGCAGGGCCAGGCCTGGGGTTTATTCCTTGGGTAGAGTGCTCAGGATCAGGCAGTAGTGATGGCTGAACAACCATACGAAAATACTAAAAAATCACAGAGCTTGCATGGTCTGAAGCATTCACCTTTGCTTTGTTCTGTCTTATTGAAGTGCTGGGGATGGGACCTAGGGCCTGTGCATGTCAGGGAGTGCTCCCCCACTGAAGGTACCCTAGCCCAAGAACTGTACTTTCCTTCTTTATGTACGTATGTATGTTTTGATTGGTTTCTGAGACAGGATCTCACTATGCAGTCCAGGCTGGCCTTGAATGTGTGGCCATCCTCCTGCCTCAGTGCTAGGATGACACGGGTGTACCACCATACTTGGTAAGAACTATATACTGTATTTGAACCGTATTTTAATCAAGCTAGTTTAATTGTTTTAGCTGGATATCATGGCACATGGCAGTTATCCCAGCTATTTGAGAGGTTGAGGCAGGAGGGTGGTAAATTATAGCCTTGCTTGGGCAATTAAGAGAGGCCCTGTCTCCAAATGAACGGTGTGTGTGTGTGTGTGTGTGTGCGTGTGTATGCTGTACTCTTAGGTTTGGTACAGCATCCCTAGGTTAGATCCCTAGTACTGGAGAAAAAAATTCAGACAAGTGAGCAGAAATCTCCCTTAATTCCTGGTGTGAGGGATCAGGTAGAGGTGCCTTCAACAGGCAGGAGAGCTCAGGGGAGGGAGGAGCTTAGGAAAAGCTCTTAGTCTGAGGCTGAGATGTTTTGGATGGATATTAAATTTAAGCACTTAATACTATGATAATGAATTTATCTTAAAAACACAACTCCAGTCAGGAAGCACTTTGCAGAGACCCCAAGAGCCGCCTGAGTCACTGGGCCACAGTGACCATGGTCCACACTTTACTGGACCTTTGCCACCTGGGCAAGGGCCGATGCCACACCAAGCATGGGATGCTGGCTGTCCCTCCTCTGTGAGGAGGAAGGGGATGTGTGGCCTCAGGGTAGCTTTGTGGCTCTGCAGTAGCAAGGCCAGGGACAGTGTGTAGATTTCACGTTCCTCTTCTGCGGGCCTAAGGCCTCTCCTCAAGAGGGGCATGGTCCCCTGGCAGCTGGTTCAGTGATAAGTTCAGACTTAAATATCCTGACACCAGAAGCAACCCGTTAGTGGGAAATGTTGGGGACCCCAGCTCTGGGGGTAGAAAGGAGGCATGGAACTGAGCTCAGAGGAAGAGCAGGCGGGCTCTGGGTGGGATGCTGCAAAAACAAAGAAAAATAAAACAATGAGTGGAAAGGAGATGTGGTGGCCCCAGGGGAGTTTACACTGGTCTTGCTCAGAGACAGAGTGAGATGGAACAGCCTCTGAGCCCACCCTAAAGGACCTACAGCAGGGCATCTGCCTGCTGCAGAGCCTGGTGCCGAAAGCTGACTGAGCATGTACTTCCCAGGTGCAGCCTCTCCTTTGGCCAGCGCAGGCTGCAGAGGACAGGTCACTTCATTCCTGCTTAGGTGTGGCTGTGGGTGAAACCCCTGCCAGTGCACTTGCCCTTAGGCCAGGAAACAGAGTCCAAGGACCCCACACAAACTGCAGCAAGCTGGGTTGAAAGTGAGGCTCTGGGCTCTCCGGGGCAGCCTTTGACTCAGCGCAGGATGACAGCTGTTCTCAGGTGGGAATGGCTCCACCACAGTCCTGAAGGGACAACTGAGGCCACTATGAGGCCTGGAGGGTGCACAGGGCAGGGGGAGACCCTGCTTCATCTCATGGTCCCTGCCTGGACTGTGGTGGGGTCTCAGAAGTCATCTTGAGACCAGCCTGGCTCCTCTAGGCCAGCGCTGCACCTCTGCCACTGCAACTGCCGCTGAGGGGTTAGGGTTGGGTTGCTTTTTTAAGGAAGTAAATGTTAGAGGGCCAGGGATTTAGCTCAGTGGCACCACACCTGTCTCACAAGTGCAAGGTCCTGGGTTCAATCCCCGGTAC